AACTTACGGAGGTTGCGGATGCAACCTTCTGACGGCAACCATTGATCAAGATGTCTCCCGTCCCTTTCATGTTAGGTCTGAGTCGTCCTGTTTAAGCATATACATATATGTATATGTAAGTACAGATCATAAGTAAAGGAGAAATGTATAGACAAACCAAACATTAACGTTGTCCAAAAGCAGTATGGTTTAGATGAAGTAACAAGTGCCGCCCACAATATTACGGGAAGAAGATGACAGATAGCGAAATCCAAGCAGGAGTACTAGAAAGCGTGTTTCTCGTTCGACAATCATGAGGCCGGGTTGGTTCGCACATCTGAATTTTATTCAAGACTATTTATGCATAGAAATGTGGAAGCGGTTATTTCTTTTTTTCAAAGTGGACTATGACATCTTTATTTCTACATCGGCTATCTGATCATCTTTCTATATTTACAGAAAATGCTTGCATATATTAAAACCTTGTGTGCAAAAGAAAAAACTTGTGTGTAACTTTAGATTTGAACTAACCAAACTAAAGGTTAAAAATTCATTTGATGTATTTTGCAATCTATCTGCAGGCATGTTATTTTTCAGGTAATATCACAAAATGCAAGGGTATATATACCCAAAAGTGCTAGACGGCCGCGTGGTTTGCTGAGGCGGCCGTTTCGGGGGCGCCGATAACTGTTTGGCAATGATGATAGCGTCAAGAGGAGCTTGGGTCGCAGCTCGGGCTTTAGTACTCGGATCTTCCCAGCGTGCCCGAGGTGCTCTTTAGGGCACAGTCGGCGCAATTCCTGCATATTTCCCTTGTGAGGCTCGTCGTCAAAGTCGGAGTTGTCGGTTGTTGGCGCATGTGGCCATCTGTTGGCATGTGTCGTCATTGCTCTGTGTAGCTGTTTGTGGGAGCGGCTTCGTTGGTGGAGCTCTATGGTGAAGTCGGAGTCGCCCGTTCGGAGGTAACCGGTGATGACGATGACGCTTGCGACTCCCCAGCGGATGTCTTTTCTTCTTTGCAGCTCATGTTTCATGTTGGTGGCCAGGTTGGCCGGTGGTGTCCATGTTATATGGGTTGGGTTGTATCGGTTTTAGCCCGGTTTTCCGTCAATTAACCGGGCAATTCTCACTTCTTCTTAATCAATGGAAATGGCAAGTCTTTTGTCTCGTTTCAAAAAAAAGTGCTAGACCTAGGTAATCCTATGTACTCCATCTACGTAACCTTCCTAACAAACCTCTCCATTCCCCTGATTTCAAGTGGGTAGGGCCCGCTCCCTTAATTTTATCCAACAGAAAAATGTCACGCGAGTCATTACGTAAGTTAAGTAAAACTGTTTATGTAGGTATAGCATTACTCATATATACCCATAGACCAAGAAATTAGCGGATACTTAATTAACCGCTCTCGTACAATATGTCTTTTTCTAAACCCTGGAAATTATGGTTGTCCATATCATATAGATGCAGAGATGGGAAGATGGTGCGATTACTCTGTCTAAAGAAACATTGGTGCATGAGCCATGAGCTATGTGGCATCACCTTGGATGCAACATATCAATTACTCCTTTTCACATCGGTGAGCTTATGTTTGCATCATATTGCACCAATTAACCGATCACACTGTAAATTATGGTTGCCCGTATCAATTACCCTTTTTCACATTGGCACTTTTTTTGACGTTGACACAAGGGGCACAGCTGTCCAAGTAGGAGCGTGTTAGCCATGCACTTTTTTTCTGACAAAATTAGCCATGCACTTAATAGAAACACATGATAAGAGCAGAACTATTTACTGATATTTATTTTATTGTACAAATTTCTAGTGATTTTTTAATGTATTTTTGTGTCACACACACATGTAATGTTAGTGGATATCTTTTAAAGAAATGAGCCCTCGTCTATTTTCATTGAAGAAACCGCCAAACAACTTACAAAGTTCCTAGTAGCAAAATGAAACAAAACTAAAGATAGCAACACGTTTAAAATAGCTAACTAGGACATTAGCAAAATTACCACGTGTTATATGTGGTAAGCAACCCAAACTTATTTATGAACAAAGAACATTAGCAAAATCAGAAAAGAAATTACAGTTGGAATACAAAAAAAATATTCATATCTTAGAAATAGATTGGAAGTTTTTTGATCAAAAGATAGAGTGTAAGTTTACAGAAGATGAACATTTCAAGTTATAAGGTTTTTTGTAAGGTAGGAAAGTTATACCAGCCAAGGTATCAAGCAGAGTAGTTTTGCCACAGCCCGAAGGACCCATGAGAGCCAGCACTTCGCCCGGGCGCGCGTACCCACTAAGCCCATCAAGGATCATAGCATGGCTCTTTCTCCCGTTTATGGCCGTCACCGATAGATCCTGCCACTTCAGAAATACCCCTGCAACGCCGGGCTCCACATTGCCCACTACCCCATCGGCCGGCGAAGCCTCCCATGGCTCCGAGTTAGAGAAACAACGTGGGAAGAAGACGTGGCTTGACGGCCACGCCAACCAGCCGCGCCATGAAACCATAGCAGTGCTCGACGACGTTGTCGACTGTAGTGGCCTGGTGGGGCTCGGCGTCGGGGCCCATCTTGGCAGTGGTGACCCTGCCATATATATATACGGTGTGTGCTTTTTGTGTTGTTTGAGGTTTCCATGTGTCTACCAGCGCCTTATATAGGTCCAAAGTCGTGTGGATGTTAACGGCTGGTCATATTACATGAAATGTGTCTTGTTAAAAGCCAGAGACTCTTCCTTTCTGGTACAGCTGCAATAATGAGCACCTTTTGGTTTAATTAATCAAGAAATAAAGTGTGATGGTGATCTTGCACTACTAAGGATCGTCTAAAGAAAGGATTGGATGTTTCATAGTGACACTAATAGCTTTGAACCACGTGAAAAAATAAGACTAGCTTTGAACCTGATTTTTTTTTTGAAAAGGAGAATATACCCCGCGAAAAAACAAGACTAGCTTTGAACCTGACTTTGACATACCACAACGCCACCTTCTCTATTGTCTCTACCACACCAGCTAAATGCAAATTTTGGACTGAAAACCACTTGTTTCTATGCTCTCACATTTCAAAACACCTCAAAAGAAAATCTAGAAATCGTCCATAATTTATTAACTAAACTAGATTTTCTTTTCGCTTTGGCAGACAGCTTAATTAGGACAAACTCCTTTATTAAGTTTGGGCCTGATTGAGGGTCTGTGTTGACAAACGTAGTGACGTGATAGCACGATATGGGTATCTTGGTTTTCTAATGAGAAACGCTGTTTTGGCAAATAGCTTAGGACAAACTCCTTTATTAAGTCTGGGTCTGATTGAGGGTCAGGGTTGACTGACGACATGACGTGATAGCACGATATGGGTGTCTGCTTGATTTTTCTAATGAGAAACGCTAGGTGGTTTCAGGCCGAGACAACTTTGACGATCCAACAATAACGTTCAAACATGCAAGTTGTCGTTGGTCTCTTCCTGTAAAAGACGTAATGAAAATGGAAGCCGTATGTGTGCCCCCTGTTATATCGAGAAAAGATGCGAGATCGACATATATCGTTGGCAGTTGGCAGATCGGTGGCACTGTCATTCTAGCGTGTCTCGCTCTCGCGCAGATTATCTGGTTGGCACGTTGCTGGCAGGAGCAACAATGCTACAGCTACGACCATTTTTCCACGGATTGGATGCTACGGACATAGTTGTTCTCAATTGGTTGGGAAGAGAAAGGCCCCATCCTAAAAAACAGGAGGGAGGGGATGAATTAGGGGGATCCGCCTTGCGTGCTCCTTCTTCATGCTCTCATCCGTGCTCCCACTTCATTCTATGGTTGTCTTTTTTTTTCTAATCTAATTATCTTCCTCCTGATTTTAAGAGGATAGGGCCGGGCCATATTTTGTTCCAATTAAATCAAGCCACATATATGGAAGCACGAATCAGCGCACACGCGGGGAGCAAGCAAGTCTCGTCCGAATTAGGGGCCAACACGTACTCCCGTAGATCTCTTTCCGTGAGATGTGTCCGTAAGTGTATCATTTTCGTGGTAGGAGTATATATGTATCGTGGTACAAGGCTACCCCATCATTTGATCTTTGCTTCGGAGAAAAAAAAAGTCCATTTGGTCTTCCTGCCTTGACGGCTCCGCCATATTAATGATGCTAAACTAAACATATGCATATAAGAATTATATAAAGTCAAACTTTCTAAACTTTGACCATATTTATATGAAAAAATATTAACATCTACTTTCTCCGTTCCTAAATATAAGTCTTTGGAGACATTTCATTATGGACCACATACGAAGCAAAATGAGTGAATTTACACTTTAAAATGCATCTATGTACATGAGTACATCTGTATGTGGTTTATAGTGAAATCTCTACAAAGACTTATATTTAGGAACGGAGGGAGTACAATGCTAAATTTATACAATATAAAAACTAAAGTCATGACGCATCTGATGTTGTTAATTTCACATTCTGAATGTTGGTAATTTATTCTATAAATTTGGTCAAAAATTACGAGGTTTGACTTCAGACAAATCGTATATACAAACTAAAAACAGTTTTGCTAGAACTCATCTAGATGAGATATAATTTGGTCTCATTCACCTTTTATAGCCATTGAATTTGATGCTATAAGATGCGTGTGTACTGACGTGGGTTGTATCTATTCTTGTTTTCAAAGTGAATGAGACCAAATTATATCTCATCTAGATGAGTTCTAGATACTCCCAACTAAAAATGATTAAAAAGGAGTACTACAGGTTTGCATCCCGTAACAAATCGTCCATTAACAAATCGCCCGTGCGTCGTCCTCGCGCCCGGCGGCCGCCTCCTCCTGCCTGCTTACGCAGCCGGTGAGGCTAGGGACCCGCCGTTATCATGCGATCCATGTGCTCCCTGGAATATAGCACGGGCCCTTTTTTCTCCTATGATACTGTAATCTTTTTCCCTTTTTCTGTGATGATATGACACTGTAATCTGACGCATGCCTAATGAATCAGTCTGGCGCACGGTTTGAAATTTTTTTGAAGGCAAAGCCTCTCGGTATTTCATTTCTCAGCTAAAAGAGTTACATCATTTATTACATAAGAAAGAATGAAACTGGGTGGATCTCCATCCCATTTAAAAGAAGATTGAGTATCATAAGAATGCTTAGCCAGATTGTGAGCAACTCGATTGGCTTCCCTCGGATTGTGTTTGAAAATAACTTCATTGATCATCCTAGCTCTTACAAAACAATCAGCTAAGGTTGCAGTATAAGGATCAAAGATCTCCAGCTCTCCATTGCACGCGTTGATTAACTCCAAACAATCAGACTTATATGTGATATGGGTGCAGCTCAATTACTCAACTAGCTCTAGACCTTTTAGCAGGGCGAGGACCTCCGCCGAGGCAGCATTTAAGATCATCTGAACAGGGCTGGCCGCTCCTGCAACAGCCTCACATGCGCTATTACATATAACGGCGCCAACATCACCCGTACCATCTTGATTGAAAGTAGCATCAACATTTAGTTTATAGCATCCTCGGCTTGGCTTTTCTCACAATATTTCATGTGGTTTGCTGGAATAGGAAACAGCTCCAAAATTTGAAATTAGTGCCTGAATCGCAAAGGCCGAGGATCCGCCACAGATTCGCCCTTCACCGCCTCCCTCCTTTGTCATCATATAACATACCCAACATTGGCACAGTGTTTAATTTTTTTCGGCAACTATATTTAATTCATAATCATATCCTTTACAATAAGCGGAATCAGAAAATCAGGAGGTTTATCAAGTCACACCCTTGACTCCTGACCCAAGAAACTAAAACGAGCAATAGTATGAGCGCACTCGTTTACATCACGCATACAATGATTTATTGTCGCCTTGCCGAAAGAACTCATCAACCTTCGACAATCGTCAGTAATTACCGCACCTGACGCCCGGTAGTCATCCAGATTCTGGATAGCTTGAACAATCTCCATAGAATCACTCTCAACGGACAAAGAAAAATGCCCATCTCCTCAGCAAGTCGTAGTCCCAATAATAGCGCAAACGCCTCCATCGTTGGAGCATCCATTGCATTTAGTTTATATTCTATGGCCGCTGCAACAAAACCTCCCTTCGAATCTCGTAAAATAGCACCACTTACCCCTGCACCCGAGTCAACATGATATGAAGCATCAACATTAAGCTTTATACAGCCTGATGCTGGTCTAGACCATCTAGTCTGTCGTGGAGGAACTAGCTTCTTTTCTGCTACCTAGTTAGCAACGATACCCCTAATATGTAGAGACGATCGTGCTGGCATACCAATCTCTTTATCATGGGACACTTGACGTCGTTCCCACCAGATATACCAACACGCAACCATAGCCAATTTCACTGCATTTTCTCCCTGGAACGAGACACCACCAGGTAAATTGGAGCATATTATCTCATCAAGTATCAATGAACCAGACCTACGCTGCTCAACAATTGCGGCCACATTCGCGCCTAGGCCGAGTTCCTCCCGTACCTCTCTAGCTCTGCCACATATAAATAACATGTGCTTAAGGTCATCAGGATCTACCTTGCACACCGGACAAGTCACTGGAGTTTTAATGTGTCTGTTCGCTAAATT